ACGCCGACAACGTCGACCCCATCATGGAGCAGTTCGACATGATTGTCTACCCCAGCCGCACCATCCAGACGGATGGTATCAAGGCCTTCTCCGTCACCTCTTTCGGTTTCGGTCAGAAGGGTGCCCAGGCCATCGGTGTCCACCCCAAGTACCTCTTCGCTACCCTTGACGAGAAGACGTACGAGGAGTACTCTGCCAAGGTCAACGCTCGCCAGAAGAAGGCTTACAGCTTCTTCCACAAGGGCCTGGTCAACAACACGCTCTTCGTGCCCAAGTCCAACGCTCCTTACACCGACGAGCAGCTCAGCAAGGTTCTCCTGAACCCCGATGCTCGCGTTACCGAGGACAAGAAGACCTCCACCATTTCTTACCCCTCCAACTTCATGAAGGCATCTGAGAAGACTGTCACCTCCACGGCGGCTAAGGCCACCCAGGACATGATGGAGGGTCTGGCCAAGAAGGTCGCCAACAAGAACAGCAACGTCGGTGTCGACGTTGAGGACATCTCTGCCATCAACATTGAGAACGAGACATTCATTGAGCGCAACTTCACCGCCGGTGAGATCAAGTACTGCCAGTCTGCGCCCAGCCCTCAGAGCTCGTTCGCTGGCCGGTGGAGCGCAAAGGAGGCCGTCTTCAAGTCTCTTGGTGTCTCCAGCAAGGGTGCCGGTGCGCCGCTGAAGGATATTGAGATTGCCAAGGACGAGTCTGGCGCCCCCACTGTCAAGGTAAGCTTTACTCAACATACAATAGTCTCCTGAAACTATGTACTAATTTGATGATAGCTCCATGGCGAAGCTGCTGCTGCTGCCAAGAAGGTTGGCCTTTCAGACATCAGCGTGTCCATCTCACACTCTGAGACGCAAGCGATTGCGGTGGCTGTTGCAAACTTTTAAAAAGCGGGTAGACTGTACAATGCATTTCTAGTTCATGGGATATAGGCAGGCATGGGATCTTGCTTGTTCACTTTGGTCGTTTTTGACATCATACAAGCCTGGGAGTATAGACTGCGGGTACACTTTGGGAGGAGTGTAGTCGCATGATCATCATCGTCGGATGAATTGACGAGTTAATGCACGAGTTGGGAACGGCGCAACAACGATAGAAGCTAGTTCCTCGATGCCACAATAGAATCTGTATCAACCATTTGAATATCGTGTGTGATTTGATCCCAGGCGTAGCCTTTGACCGTTGACGTGAGTTCGACACCAACCTAAATTCTGGAGAGTAGCAGCCAAAAAATCTACCCCGCCTTGTATGTGCTTATCAGGTTATATCTCATTCTGCTCCCTTTTTCCCACCTGTTCGGGCGAAAAGCGGCGATCAGGATGCCAGGAATGCTACATAATCCTGGTCTCGTTACATGGGAATCCACGACACCCGTCTGATGGATGAGACGAACTGGTGAAGTGGGGGGTGCAGCAGTCACATCACGAATAGCGAGCGATTGGAGTAGCATGCACGAGGGAGTCCTAAAGGGGTAGACGGAATTTGACTGTGAGAAAAAAAGATTGGCTACCATATTGGTGGTCAAGAATCGAGGTGATGATGCTCCTTCTGGCAAAGGGAAGGGAGTTTGGATTTTTTTTACGTGCTACTAAGCTTAGTCGCGACTGCGTTGGCGCTTGGGACATTTTAAGGAGGTCTCTGGCCAAGGGCTGAGCCGTCGCAGATTTTCAGTGTTTGGGAGGGTGTTGGGCGATAAGGCAGGAGGCGGCTTAGATGTGCAGCGTCTGGTGTTTGACGCGTTGATGGGCGTGCTTGTCAATGGATGAATCAATCATTGAGAGAATGAAAGAATGCGACGAGATGCTGTTCAGCAAAGGAAGCGGTGCATATTTTTATTTTTATTTTCAGCTTACGAGCTCTTTTTTTCTTTTCGCGTCCTGGTTTTCGTTTCAGCGTTTACCTACTTGCGTTCCTCTGTGTTTCTTGTTTCCATCTTGTTCCATCTGAGACCGTATGGCTGGGTTCTTTTAGAGGGGGAGGTTCGTCTGATGGGAAGATGTTTTGTTTTTTTCCTCGCTTTCCTTTGGGACTGACAGCAGTGACAGGAGAAACCTTACAGACATGAGCTGAATAAAAGACCATGTCTTCTCTTTTTGTTTTTTTGGATCTCTCGTTGGGTTAAAGGGCTGCCGTTCAGATTTCAAATAGGGGCCGACTGGGGTTCTTTTTTTTGCATTGAATCCCGCGACGAGGAGGAACCCTTGCTAGATGGCTTCTGAAACTTCGTGTAGACCTGGTTGAACCTCTTCACCTCCAATCGATCTCGCCGCCTCCGAAGAGGGTAATACATTGAAGAGGGGAGGACAAATACAGGTAGGATTCCCAACTCCCAACTGGCTCCCCCCCACTGGATCGCTCCTGTCGGCACCCGGCTCTCATCCCGGTTCAGTGATCGACGAGCGGTGGTGTCTGAGCTTTGCACTGCCGCGATGACTGGGGTGTTGTAGAAGGGATTACAGGAGCATAAATCAGGAACCAGCCAATTAGATGCTAGAACAGCGGGAGAGGACCCCTGCATGTTGGGAATGAAGGTGGTTTATGCATCGATGCATCCCTTTTTTAAGTGCGTTTTCTATCTGTCGATCATCCGTCATTCTGGTCCTCACTTCTAATCCACAGGACCACAGGTGTGCCGGTGTGGTGGTGGTCGAGGACCGCGACCGAGCGTCGTTCAGCCGACTGTGATCAGACTTTCCCTGCTCTTAGGTCATATTTCTCTCCCGGAGTTGTTATTACGCTGGTGTGGCAGCTGTAATGTGTGTCCAGTGGTCTCTTTATTTTTGTGTGTGGCGCAGGCCTTGCAGTTTTGTTTGGATCTTGGATCCAATCTCCTATGGTTGGGGCCGTTGTCATGCAAGACCACGGACTGGGCGTGTTTGAAGGAGGCAGTTTGAAAACCTCCTTTATTACGTGGACTTGCTGAAGTGTATGGGTATAAGGAAACGGACGTTCCCCCCCCTTTGGTGCGCGCGTGCTGGTGAATTGTCTGGTTGATCGTTTGGTGTAGTATCCTATTGACGTCCATCCACATTCGCTTGTGTCTGTTTCTTGCTGGCTTCGACGTTTTGAGTGTTTAATACCTACCTTACACCTACCCAATCTACAGCGCCGCACAAGTGAAGCTATCAGGAAACATTCGAATAATCCCACACCCAACATACCGGATCATTTCGCCTGTAAACAAGGGGATTATAAAGTCAGGAAAACAGCATCGAGATATCGAAACGCAAAAATGACGGGCGCAAACAATATCAGAGGCCTCATGGGCAAAGGCGCCCCGCCAACGCCAACCTTCTTCTCCATCGTCCGCGTCGCCGTCCTCGTCCTCTCGCTCGCCGTACTCGCCTCGTGCGCGTACTGCCTGTCGCTGTTGGGCTCCTACTCGAGCAGCTATACCGGGCCGCCGGGCTTCATGCTCTTTGTCGTATGTCTATCACCCGCCTACACTTCCCTCCACCCTAAAACAACAACCTTCAACCCCCAAATTACCAGGTAGATCACACTTTACTGACCGCACTCATCGTGGATAGTCCCTCTTCACCCTCCTCGTCCTAGGCGGCGCCATGATCCTCGAGCGCTTCGCGGCGCACTTCTACTTCCGCATCGCCGTCCTCATCGGCTACGGCACGAACTGCCTGTTCTGGCTGTCGGGCTGGGCGTGGTCTGCGAGTATCGCGGCGTTGTTCCTGGGTGACACGTGCGTTCAGGGGACGTGCTTTGGGCCGACGACGGAGGAGAAGCGGTATGGGGGTAGTATGGCTGGCGCTGCTGCCGTCGGTGCGGTGAACTGGTATGTTTCTTATTTCTTTTCTTTTTTTGTTCTCGGTTGTGGATTGTGATGCGGTTGCTAACGACATATATATAGGGTTTTGATGACCATTGTGTTGTTTTATTACATCAAGGGATGTCTTTCTGACCCGGATTGCTATGGTGTCTCGACGGGTCATGGGTCCGAGATGGGGAGTATCAAGGCTGAGAGCAAGTCGCGGTCTCAGCCGTCTGTCAACGAGCCGTGAGCTCGGCGGACTGCCAGTGTCACATGATAGGGTAACAGTTTTCGGTTTGAAACAGTTTTGGAAAGGGGAGAATTTATCGACAATCTTTGAGCTGGACCTGGACTTGGTAATGAACGGAGTTCTTTGGTTTAGATGGAAACAACGACGCGGCCGGGTTCTTAGACGGTTCTGGAGGGAGAGTCATGATCTGGGTTTCGAAAGGTTTGATGAGAGATACCACTGGCTATAATTAGTAGCTAATTTTATTTTGCGTGAACTCCTACAATTGCGAGACTGGAAGTGAGATTCTTTCCTTGCCCCCAGCCTTCCGTTGGAGTTCCTACTTTTAAAAAGTGTTCCAGACGCGCGATTCGAAGGGAATCGTCTCTGCCAGATACCCTTCCTAGCTTGGACATTACCTACACCTAACCTCCTTCCTGTGGTCATGAGCTCCCTCATGAGACCATTGGGAGGCTTCTTTGATATGACAGTCAGATTCGAAAGCTGATTCTTACTCTGCCCCAATGCCCATAGCAACATCATCTCAATAGTGCTCGGAAACATCCCATGGCCCTGGTTCGATACAGCCGTGTGTATACTCGAAGACGCCTGCCCAAGAAGTTCACCGAGTGAAACGAATTTATTCAAGTCAAGGATATTGTAGATATCACTGCAAGGTAGGAATCGGTTCATTTGAAGCAATAGTATTGAGTGGAGAGCTAAGCAGGAAATAAACAGATCAACGCCTAGAACTGGGTATCAAACTCCTGCGATCCTACAAATGCAGTACTCTGTCAAAAAGCCCCCGAAAGGATATTCTCTCTGCCGATGCGAGACTCGCAAAAAGGAGCAAAGCAATAACAAGGAGCCCTCTCTCAAGAAAAACCAAACCACGCGACCTCATTGCTGGTGTATTCATAATCCAACAGCACCCACCGAAACGATATCCCAATCCTCTCTCTCTCAACGATCAACTCTGCCTTCGACTCTCCCTCTTCAACGCTTTCTCTTCGCCAGAACCTTCTTGGGCGTCGCAGGCGCAACCTCGCCCACGTCCTGAAAGAAATCCAACGCGTCAATACGATAATCCGCAGCGACGGCCTCCTTGGCCACGTCCGGCAAATACTCCCACCCCCTGGGATCCGCACCCGCGGCAATAGCTCTGGCCTTCCAGTACCGACACTCTGCTTTGGCGAAGCTCGCGTCCTCGGCGCGGAGCACGGCGGCGCGGTCCCGACGGTTCCGGCTGCGCATCGCGGCGACGTTGTTGCGGTTCTTGAGGTTGCGGAGGCGCGCGGCCGCGAGGTGGTTGTTGTAGTCCATTGCCTGTATGCGCCTGGGGTCGTCTTTGGGACCGAGGGAGTCGTCGATTTTGATGAATTTGCCGAGCAGGGGTTGAGGGGGGAGGGAGGTTATTTCTGGTGCCGAGGGGGCGGCGCGGATTTTGTAGATCTTCGTGAAGGAAGAAGAAGAGTCGTTGAGGTTTGCGGTGTTGTTGTCCTTCACGCGCGGCGAGGGAGGGGGAAGGGTTGTGTTTGTGTCGACGGAGAAGAGGTGCTTGATTTCGGTTTCGCGGCGGTTGCGCTCTTCGAGGGTTGTGTAGAGGGGGACCTGGAGGTGAGCTGTCAGGAGGGAGGAGACTGTGCCGGGGAGATTGTG